AATGTGCACATGGGTACTAAAAGTATACTAGGAAAAAAAGTATGTAGCGAAAGGATCTAAGAATTTAAAACGGTACATATTAAACCCTTTCTGTTTGGATCAATTCACAGCAAAAATATTAGTGGTATGTCACCTAATAATAAACAAAGGAAAAAGAGATTTCTAATATGGATAATTAATCATTAACCTTAACTGCCCTTTTTTTAAATCAAAGCACAACAAACACAATAGTATAAAAAAAAAAAGGGACTTACTTTTATCGTCTATTCAAACATGATGAAAACTAGACTGAAATAATCCTACAATAAGGACTAAATAAATGACAACTTAATAAACATAAGCTTAAATAAAATTCAGCATCAGATGTAACTAGACTGATAATTTTATTAGTTCATGATAAAAGAAGGAAGTAAATTAGAATATTAAAAAAAATAAATTAAAATATTAAAAATAAAAAAAATTATAATATAAACATCTTTGCTGCGTTGATGATGACCAAAAGATGATAATGGATCAAGCACATGGACATGAATATCGCCTCCGACAGGTTGTTGGTGAATAGTTTGGCAGCTGTTTTAGGTTTTAAGAATTTAGGGGTATGATACTTTTAATTCTGACAGCAAATTAATATAGAAAAATAGAATTAATTTATCTAATTAAGGATCTGAGGATTAAAAAAGAAAGACCAAGATATCACACCTAAGGGTTCTTAAACATCACGTGTAAAGAATTTTAAGCATTACATCATATAACCAGAAAAATGAAAAAACTCTCAAAATATATATGATTTAATACTTAAGAATGATTAATAAATAATATATGATAATCTTTTTCTTAATTTCGAGCTAAACTTAGGTAATAGGAAAACAATTCGAACTAAGAATATGTAGAATTAAAGTATTTTTAATAAAAATATAAATTATCTTTAAATGTGATAGAATCATTTTAATTGTTAATTAGACCTCGATCTTATTAAAATGACTATAAGATGAACGAGATATAAATAGAGAAATAGGTGATATGAGAATCTATTTAGTGCATAACTTGGGGAGTTTGTAATCAACTAAAAACTAAATAGTCAATTATTGTACATATTTGAAGTTAACTACAAATTAAATTTTATTTTTATATTTTAAAAATTAATAAATAACTACTATAAATATTTAATTTTACTTTTATATTTAAAAATTAAAAAATATATCATTATTATGTATACTGTCAATTTAATTAAAAATTTAAATAACTAACTGTTATATATATATTTTCAATCAACTTAAAAATTAAATTAGATTTTTATATTAAAAATTCTATTATGAATATAATCACTTTAGCATTATTTTTATGTTTAAAAAATTTAAAATAGATATTATCATTTTGCTTTTATTGAATATTTTAAAATTTATTTTAAATTTATAAAAATAGAAAATTGTCATGTGGCACATTTCGGCTTTATTTATAGGTAAGGACAGAATTCTGTAGCCACTCATGGGTTTCATATCCAATCAATTAATTTGCACCTTTTAACTTGACTTGGTTGGGCTCAATTTAACTTTGAGTTTTCATTAAAGCAATAAATAGCCTTTCTACTTAATCTCAAAAATCCTTCGGCGATATTTCTCTGCCACTACGTATCAGAACCAAACTTCTCTCTTCTAATGGATTCTCTCCCACGTTCCCCAGGCTGATTTGTATCACTAAGCAAAAGCATTGTGTTAATGAGATCTTGAAGATCATCACAATTTCACCTTAAAAATGAGAGATCCTACTTGAGACAACCAAGCAAAGTACAGCATATTTTTGCAAGATTTGCCCTCACCAAAAAGAGTGTAACGAAAACAAAAAAAAAAAAAGGGTCTTTAGATTTCAATCTTGAGGAATCATAACAAGTTTCAAAATTATATGAGTAAATGTGAATTGGCATATGACATGTAGATATTGCTGTTTTTGAACACATAATGTGCATCCCCCATCTAAAAAAAATAATAAAAAGCTGGATCCCTTCATCTCATCCAACGGAAGATTTGGAATCACAAACTCTCAACTGCATGATCGCTGCATCAACACGGAATATGCAAATAAACGATCCTACTTCGGCTTCAAACACAAATAACACAACTTGCATCTTCTTGTCCACAAATTTTCTTTCATTTCTTTCAATGTTTAAAAAGGCACATATTCCATCATCAAACCTTTAAAGGAAAAATGGTTTACCAAATACAGCATCCTGGCAAATCAGTGAACAGAAATATTTGCTGTCATTCCATCTACCAACTTAAGATACCCCTTGCTGCAGCTGAGCTGAAGGCTAGAAAACCATCAGAACACAATGTACTCTCCGCACTGTCTGTATTCTCAAAGAATATATATTTGCCACAGTTTCTAGTTCCCTCTCAACAAGAAACATGTACATGAGGCTTCTAGTTGTCCTACTGATGAGAAGGACTCACCACAAGACTAAGACCCAGGGGGCACTGAATTTGTTTCTGATGATCTAACTATATCATCAATTGCTTCCATATCGAGAGCCATATCATTAATATCTCCCCCCTCTACCTCCATAATCATCTCATTACTGTCAGCTGCCATGGGTTCAACCCCATTTGGAACCAAATTTGAGTGCAATAATGGCTCTTCACTGGCTGTGTTTGGTTCATCAGGGTTCCGCATTGCTGTTTGTGGATATGGATCAACACAGACGTTCAATGTAGACGATACTAACAAATTCTATAGACAAGAAAAAGAAACTATAAGAATCGACGAATCAACAATATCATTAGAAAACTACAAATAAATAAACTTTAATGACCACGCAGAAACAGAGACTTGGTTGCAAGAATTTTAAATTCAAATCATATGGAAGGCTTGTTTCACTATCAGCTATTTCGTTGGACCATTGGAGAACCGATGAATGCATCATACATCACTCCACACATATAAAACACCATGAATATGAACGATGAAGTTTAAAAACATGGTAAACCACGGAGTCTTTATGAGCTCATGGATACATGGGGAGGGGGTTTGCAAGGAGGCCAAACTCCTGGGTATAGGGCACTTTTTCTGGGTTTATGGACCTTATGGCTTCAAAAGAATAGACGGATATTTAATGATTACTCCCCCCCAGTCAGGACCTATGGGACTGGATGACATTCTTGGCCACACTATGGGCGAAGGCTCCTGGATGGTATTCAGACACTGCTCTCTTTGTGGAACACAGGAGAAGAGAGGCAATAGCCCATTAATGACTCAGGATTAGGAGTCTATACTCCTCTTTCTTTTGGCCTTTATGTTTATTCTCTCTTCATCTTTCATTAGATAATTTGAGGAGGCTGTCTTATTCTCCCTGGATGTAAATTTCTCTCTTTCTTATAATACTTATTTTTCTGTTAAAAAACATGATTACTCAAAACGACAGAAATCTATAACGAACAAACATTAAGGATAAATCAAATTGATTTGCAGTCACAATAAATGTTTGTTACAAAAAGTTTAATTAACACTAGCAGTAAAAAATAAATTGCAGCTGAACTCAAACCAAGAATCCTAAAACTTCGATCATCAGCCAAGTCAGAACTTGGACAGATACATGAGTCATCATAACTCAGAACTACGTGGACAACCTCAATAGACTATTCAAAATCTAAGACTTATTAATCAGGAAATTCGTAATTAAGCATTTTAGACATCAGCTTTATGACAATTTTGATAAGATTTCTGGAGAAATTGGACAGGTTAGAATATCATCAAAATTTCTTCTGACAACCCACACTGAAATAAGAGCAAATTTTGTCAAAGTTGAGTAATATGCTATGTACAGGCCCTTCAAAATATTTTGAGGAAAAATGAGTTTATATAAGAAAAGATCATAGCAGCTGTGTATTGACAATCTGAGCTTGTAATCTGAATGCAGTTTACTTGTGATCAGTTCACACAAAGTGGTCACCTGAACTCAAACAGATGCTGGGAGGGAAACCACAAAATTTCAATAGTTTATGAAGAAAAAGAACAGAAGTGTCAGATTTTTGCTCCCTCAGCTATTACGTGAAAAACATGTAACAGAGCAACTTGAATCTAGATCTGTTGGCTATTCAAAGTTAGCTGCTTCTAAACTAGTCATTTTAGATTTTCTGTCTTAAGTATTTTACATGTTTCTCTATTTCTTCACATGTGCACATGTATGAAAATACATACAACAATTTATCTGCAAGGGCCCCCATGAACACTTCAAATAAGCATGATGTATCACATACCCGAAGTAACAAATCAACAAAGATATCATTCAGTCAAGATTGATTAATACAATAACAAAGCAAAGGTGACTGCTCTTCTCACTATGACTTTTCTACATATGCATGTTATAGTCTTTAAAATAACACTCTATTGGGTGAAGTGTAAAAAAGAATGAAATTATGGAAAATAACAAATGTACTTCTTTAGAGTTCTTTTTTACATCAAAAGGAAAAGAAAAAATATCATTGATATAAAAAAGACACAAAATATGGAGGATTAGGTGTCTTCCAAAAAGAAAAGAAACCAAAAGAAAGAAAAGAGATGACTAGCTAAATTGTAGAAAGAATAGAAGAGTCAACTAATCTCTATACAAAATCGATAAAGAAATATCTTTAAAGTATCCATGCCCTCAGCTCCAACAAAGGCTAAAGAACCTTTATCCCATAAAATCACAAAAGGTGCATCATAATTTCCAATAAAAAATAAAAAATTGGCACTCTCTAGCCAAATCACCCACAAACCAGAAAAAATTGCCGACCTTGACCTCCCTCTTCACTGTCAACTCCATCCGGACCATAGAAAGGATAGTACTAAATCTAATTCTTTAGAGTTTAAATAAATACAAACTGACTCATCTCCTCCTAAAATATTGCATGTGTGTTTCATTCACCTTATAAGCTTCTTTCTATTTTTTGATGCAGTATAAGATCAAGAAATTTGAATATCTCAACTATCAAATGTTTCATTGAAATTTTTGCTTTTAAACTGAAGGCCTTTTCTTTCCTGTGCCAGTTAAAATATGAACAGTAGTTTGGTTGGATTTAGGCCAGGACAGCAATCTGGAGTGCGAAAAAGGAAATATGTATAGCATTTTTCATTTATTGGTCAGTTTTTTGTGCTCATGAGGTAAGACAAATTAGCGAGTAATTTGACTACGTAAAAATTTAGGATAAAATTGGGACATTGTTCAAGACTTCTTAAACATCACATTTATGATTTTGATTATATCAACAATTACAAAGTTCAAAAAAATTATCAAAAGAATTTTTAATAATAAGCTTCTTAAATATGAGATTGTAAAGGTACAGTGCTTCCTCAGTAAAATTTCCCAAATATGATTGAGTAATGGAATAACAAATATTAATATTCTTAAGAGATACCTTTTTTTTCCTGAAAGAAAAAACTTTATTAAGAGAAGAGGGAAAACAAATACAAAAAACGGAGGGTACATCCTCGTAGTTGTTACAGGTTATAATATTATTAGGAGATACTGCTACTAAAAAAAACAATGTATTAGATCCCAAATAATTGAATTCCTAAATAAAATAAAACCCTGATATTGATAAATCTTAATTTAGCTATGTGTGTAGTTGGAGCATAACGCTAGAATTTTTCAGATTTGCAACTCTCCATTTCTGATTCTTTGGGATAAAGTTCTCTTTTGGCTTCCTTTTGGACAAAGGCCAACAGTTACTTCAAGGATATTTCTTTAATTCTGTGTGGACTCCATCTAATGATTACATATGTTAAACCAATATGTAAAAGGTAATAAGTTATCTACACTAGTGGTATAATCCTTCTGCCGTAACTTCTTCACCCAGAATGATCTTGTTTGCAGATTTCCTTCGAGACAGATTTGGAACAGAGAAACATCCACTTATATTTCATTAATTCCAGAATTAATATTTCTTATTTAGTGCTCATCCTTTCCTCGCTGGAGAATATCTATAGCAACTCACAAATGAACAATAATACCCATGGCAAAGTCGGAATTGGTAAAAATTGGGGATACGAGAGAGGAGAGACAGTTGGCGGATGTGTTGGGTTGTAGAGTGGGTGATTTGCCTTTGAAATACCTTGGTCTTCCTTTGGGTGCAAAATTCAAAGACTCTAGAACTTGGGATCCGGTCATTGAGATGTTTGAGAGGAGATTGGCGCGCTGAAAAAAGAATTTTCTGTCAAAGGGTGGAAGACTGACTCTAATTAAAAGTACTTTAGCTAATTTACCGATTTATTATCTTTCGGTGTTAGCTATTCCATCCAAGGTTTGCAAAAAAGTTGGAAACAATACAATGCAGATTTTTATGGGGTGATGAGATAGATAAAAAGAACTATCATTTAGTAAGATGGGAGGAAGTAAAAAACCCTATGGAAAGTGGAGGATTGAGGTTGAGATCTACTGTTCAAATGAATAATGCTTTGTTAGGAAAATGGTTATGGAGAAATTGTAGGGAAGGTGACAGATTATGGTGTAAAGTGGTAGGAGCTAGATGGGGTGCAAGGGGTGGGAGAGATGGTAGGTGTGTGGATGGGAGAGCTCATGGCTTTAGTTTATGGAAAAATATATTAAAAGGTAGGAAAGCCTTTGAGGAATGTACTAGATGGTGTGTTGGAAATGGTTTAAAAATAAGGTTTTGGGATGACATTTGGGTTGGAAATGTTAGACTTAAAGACAGATTTCCAAGAATTTTGGAGATTGCTCAGAACAGAAATATGATGGTAAGGGAGGCGTATGTGGAAAATGGAGACCATAGGTGGTGGGATGTGCAGGTGAAGAGAAATTTGAATGATTGGGAGATTGATGAGTTTTCAGCAACTATATCTGTTATTATCTGAAATAAAAGTGGGGGGCCAGGATGATTATAACCAGTGGACGAGGGAGAAATATGGGATTCTTTCTGTGAAATCCCTATATTGTCATCTTTGGGGTGGAAAGGTGAATGCAGATTCTGTGTTTCCATTCAAGCAAGTATGGAAGACTAAAGCACCTCCAAGATTGCTTTTTTTGTATGGGAAGCGTGCAGAGGAAGTGTTTTAACAATAGATATGCTCATGAGGAGGGGGAGACGCTTGGTGAATAGATGTTATGTGTGCAAATGTTATGATGAATCTTGTAACCATCTATTATTGTGGTGTTCGCCTGTTTATGATCTATGAACTTCTATTTATGGAATGTTGGGAATTAAATGGGTTATAGCGGGGTCGGTTAAGGATGAATTGTGGGCTTGGGCTAGGTTGTGTGAGAAGAAAAAATATTTAATGCTGATTCCATTATCTCTAATGTGGGTTGTGTGGAAAGAGAGAAATTCAAGAACTTTTGAAGGGATAGAAAATGATTTTAACAGCATCAAGGATAGATGGTTTCATCTTTTTAGTTCTTTATTTTTGGGACATGACACTCAGGATCTTGAGGATTTGGGAATGGTTTTACATCATTTGATTGAGCTGTAACTGTTGTATATTGGGCGGTACCCCCTTTGTACCTTTGAAATAATATTTTTTTTATTTAAAAATAAATAAATAAACCTTCTGTGATTGAGTTGCACCCCTTTATCGACTAGTGAATGAATTTCCTTTAACTTCTAATTCAATATGTGTATATATATGCATACGTATATATAGACACAAAGAGAGTAGCTGATGGGTTTAGTTCTGCATCCTAATCCTGTTAACCTGGAGAATGAAGAGAAAAGGATAGACTTTTGATAGGAAACGACTCCTTTCTATTACGGTCTATTGGCTTCAAACATAGCTTATGCCTCTAAATGGTCATATGCTAGAATATGTCTGGTGCCTACTTGTATATGACACCATTATGTTGGTTTACCACCCAATTGGTAATTCATGAGTACTCTTTTCTATCAAGAAGTACTGAAGACTCCAAGTTCATTCAACCAATTAAAAATAGAAACAAAATTAACAATGTTAAGCTCTTTTTACCATTGTACCTTTTCTAGTGCCAGAGCAAGCTTTGAGAGATTTGGATAGATACTCTGTGCAGCCAATAAGATCTGTTCAACATATAAATTGGAACACTTGATTTACAGCAAAGCTAAAAATGCAAAACAAAAAAAGTAACTATTCAAACAGTCATCAAGAAGCATATTGATCAAACCCTCAAGCATTTTTCAATATACATCAAAAAGTATAGTCGGGATAAGGGGAAACCTGAAAAACCATTGCAATAAAGTATCATGTAGGTCATATTTGTTATGAAGCTAATTGAATGTTAAAAAATTACTCCTCTTTGTTTACAGGACTAAGTCACTGAAGTAGATGGGCTTTGACAGCACATGGTGCAATTGGATCAGGCATGTCATGTCCCATTTGCAAATGAGTCTCCTCCTCTGCAACTCAAACAAGCCTTATTAGTTCTAGATCATGTCTTCTACTGAGATTCCAAGGCAATTTCCGGTCTTAAGATCAATTTTCAAAAGTTGATCTCAAAAAGTTGGAGACTGTCTCTATCATAGAGGCAATTGAGGTTAGCAAATTTCTTTTCCTATTAAGGACATAGGTATTTTCCTATTAAAGTAAAGGGAAAACCATTAATAAAATCAATGGAAAAGGAACTAACTTTGCAGAAACTCTCCATTTTTCTCAGAAAAAATCAATGTTCTAGATCCATTGGTCCCTATCGTAGATGGTCTAAATATGTTCTAGACCTCTTGAACAAAACTATTCTACCAAGGATTGTTTAACTCCTATGAGTACGAGTCTCATAGAGACTAAGTTTCCTTTCTGGAAAATCTGGAAGGTGAATGCTCCTTCCAGATGCTTTCTTTGCTTGGGAATCAGTGCGCGGATGTATCCTCACTACTGACAAATTAATGAGAAGGGGAAAGGATATGGTGAACTATTGTTACCCATGCAGAAGAGTGGAGGACTTGTAATCATATTTTACTTGGGTGTCCACTTGCATAAAGCCTTAGGATCATGGCTTATGGGTTTCTAGGGCTTAGTTGGGTAATGGCTGACGCGGTAAGGGATGAGATTTGGGTCTGGACGCATGCCAGTGAGGAAAGAGAAATGTGGACCTCATTCCCCTTGCTAAATTTTATGTTGCATTGAAAAAAGCAGGAAAGCTTTTGAGGGGTAGAAGAGGATCTGGATAGGGTTAGAGCTAAGTGGTTCTATATCTCGGTTTTTTCGTTATAGGTCATCCTTTATACTCTATTGAAGATTTTAGGAACTTTATTAACATACCGATTAATTTATAAATATTTCTATTTACGGGCTGGCACCTCCTTGATGCTTGTAATTAATGATATTTACCATATTTTTTTTGAGATAGATATTTACCATATTTTATTTCAAAACTTATGAGCACAGGTCCTCGCTTTACCATACTTTTGACATGAGGATCTGGAATTGTATCGGCAAAATGTAGGATGCATTATAAATATGCCACCTTAACTAGACCTTGCATTGCCTTTTCAATGAACAAGTTATACAAATTTCTTCATTAGAATATGTATGATCATTGGCAAACAACTAAGCAAGTTATTTAGTATCTTGATGATACCTATAGTCTCAGCATATCCTTTACTAAATGTCTCTTGATCTATAATGGTTTTAGCAATGTTGATTGAGTATTACCCTACTTTTGATATCTTCACCAAACCATTGTTGTCCATTTGTTTGCAAAGTTTTAGGACAAACTCGTCTTCATCCACCGCATCAGTTTGAGGGGGCTGTTATTCTATAAGACAGCATACATGAATATTTTCAATGTCCTAATATTTATTGGAAACAGTCCAGATTTAATTAACTCCAGTTAGAATTTTGATTCTGCTTCCTGTAATCGCTCTCTTGACAGTTTGAACTGACATAATTATGTTTCCCACAACCAAGAAAACTCTGTTTAGGCTGAGCTTTATACAATTATCTGTTGATCTAAACTTGAGATTCCCTATCACATTTAAACCATATAATTAATTTGGATATATACACAGCAAATATACTAAATAAAATCATGTGAGATTGTTGCTGAAGGTGGGGAGTAGCATGAGGTCATTCAGAATCTCAACGACTGGAAAATAAACGAATATGAACCTCTTTTGAGCTCTTTGACATCAGATTCGCCAAATGAGGATTTTGACCAACCAGCATAGACTCTTAGTACAATGGGTAAAATCATTGTGAGGACTTTCTACAAGTATTTGACCAAGAAAGAGCCATTTGAGGGAATTTTCTGTTTAGGAAAATTTGGAAAATAAATGTGCCCTCAAGGTCAGGTTTTTTTTTTTTTGCTTGGAAAGCAGTTCATTGGTGCGTTTTGACTATTGATAAACTTATGAGAAGAGGAAACATCATGGTTAACTAGTGTTGTTTATGTAAGAGAAAGAGAAGACTTGCAACAATATTCTATTTCGGTAGCCCATTGCATATAGCTTATGATCTATGGCTTTTGGAATTCTGGGATACAATTTGGTCATGGCTTGCACTTTTTTTCTTTTTTTTGGAATAGTCATGGCTGGCACCTAAAGAGAGTTCTGGGCTTGGAAGATATTATGAGTCGTAAAAAACATTTGGGAC